GGAGGGAGAGAGAGAGAGAGAGAGAGAGAGAGAGAGAGAGAGAGAGAGAGAGAGAGAGAGAGAGAGAGAGTTGAACATGGGTTGGCACAACACACGTTGGCAGAGAATACTGAGTTGTCACAATTCTTCACTTTCATTGGACAGAACAGGGCAAGATCAAGTGTCGTACCCGATCTGATCAGTTTAATATCTGATCCGTGGCCCATCAGACCACAGAAGGAAAAAAGAAGAAGAGAAAAAAAAAGGCAAGACAAGCAGAGAACTGAGGCAAATCTCAGTACAAACCTCTTCCGTCTGTGTTGCAGAGAACAGGCCTGTTCGCCGTTGCTTTGGTAGCCGTTGGATGATGGAAGAAATCTGACGGTGGAAACCCATATCAAGCAGGCGATCAGCCTCGTCGAGGACGAGAACCTAGACAAACATACAAGCAAACGAACACCGGAACATCAGGGTTCTGGCAAGAATAATGACTCCACCTTTTTAACCAGTAAACAACATATACAACAACGCCTAACGAGTGAAAAAGTGCATGCACACAAAGGACTAAGTGAGATTGCCCCCCGTCGCATATGAAAGATAAACCGAACATGTGCTTTTCACAGGAGTGGAAGAAGAAGAAGAAGAATAGGAGGAGGAGGAGGAGGAGCAGCCAGAGAAGAAGCAGAGACAAAGAAGAAGAACAAGGAGAAGAAGAAGAAGAAGAAGAAGAAGAAGAAGAAGAAAAAGGAGGAGGAGGAGGAGGAGGAGAAGAAGAAGCAGAACACGAAGGAGAAGAACAAGAACAAGAAAGAAGGCGAAGGAGAAACAAGGCGAAACAAGAAGAAGAAGAAGAAGAAGAAGAAGAAGAAGAAGAAGAAGAAGAAGCTGGTATCGACACATCCCAATACCTCGAGTTTGCGGAGTTCCATGGTCGTGCACCTGTCCATGATGTCATCCAATCGTCCAGGCGTCCCTATGAGTATTTGTGCACCTTCTTGATTGAAACTTGCCACATCTGCTGCCACGTCAGTTCCACCAACGAGTAACTGTGCACGCAGGCCTGCCACGCTGGCAACAAACGGGCATGCCACAGTGTAGATTTGAAATGCAAGCTCCCTCGTCGGCGAGACCACCACCGCCCCTACCTTGCACACCCCCATACAATACAACCGCCAGTCAATCCCTCCACAACGCACATCACATAGACTGGTCGAGAGACCAGCAAGAGCAGAGAATTATTTTGGCGTTCTTTTTTTTTTGTTTGTTTTTCCGTTGTTCTTGTTCTTGTTCTTGTTCTTGTTGTTAGAGTTGTTAGATGAGCGCATAAGCTGGTAGAGAAACCAGCAAGAGCAGAGAACACTTGCTGTTTTTTTTTTTTTTTTTTTTGGGGNTGTTATTGTAATTGTTCTCGTTGTTGTTGTTGTTGTTGTTGTTGTTGTTGTTGTTGCTATTGTTGCTGTTGCTGTTGTTGTTGTTGTTGTTAGCAGGTGTCTTGATTGTTGGCTTTTGGTCATCTGCAGATGATTGATGATGAGACTTCAACATTCCTCTGTCAAGTCTTGTGTTGGTGTGATCGATCATTGCTTTGGCATTTTTCAACATTGTTAATTGTTAATTGCATTGTCATTGCTTTGGTCATCCCCTCTAACGACGATGATGTTAGTCACGAGAGGTCCTTGTGCTTGTAATTTGAGATTCTCCGGTGATGTTGTCCTTGGCAGTCCCATTAATTTCATTGGGCCCCGATTGGAATTTATCATTGCATTGATGGTCCATCAGTTAGTCACATCGATCCTCGATTTGTTAATTAATTAAACAATAATATTACAATAACAATATCAGTCAATCGCTTATAATTTTTATGAGAATTCACCACTTGATCCATAGAGATAGAATGCCCCTTACTGCCCATGGATAACATAATCATAACGCCGAGGATTTTCTCTCCAAACACCTCAAGAAAACTTTATCAATCAATCATCAAGAAGCAGAGTTGCACCCATCTGGTGTGCTGAGAAAAGTTGCACAGCTTCCAATTTATGACCATCCAATTTGGGCACCCCATACATTGATTTTTTTTTTTTTCCCTGCCCAACTCCAACATCCCAACAGTTTGTACATCGTCATCACAAGTTGGATCCTTGACGATTACAATTTGGTGGCCAGAGTTGCACCAACAGTTTGGTGCGCTGAGAACGGTCACACACAGCTTTCCAGTTCGGTGCGCTGAGAAGGTCACACACAGCTTTCCAGTTCGGTGCGGTGAGAAAGGTCACAGGTTCCAAGTTACACAGATGGATTTTTTCCATTTTGGTGGCCAGCATCGTTCTCCTTATGGCTGCTGCTTCTTGGCCTTTGGGGAAAGAAGATCAGCCACAGATAGGCAATATACAGACACTCGCAATCGAAATAAGCTCACAGTTAGGACCACCTCCAACCCTACCTCCGACCCTAACTCTCAAGCCACGAAGATCACAGTTACGCCCTCAACGCCAACCCTAACTCGGACGTAAAGAAGACCAGAGACCGCAGTTAGGACCGACACACCAGTCCAACTCCGACCCTAACTCGGATCCCAACTCCGACGCTAACTCTGATGCTCTAACTTTGATGCCACCTCCGATCCCAACTCCCATCGTAACTCCGATCCCAACTCTGACGCTAGCTTTGAGATGCTAACTCCGATCCCAACTCTGACGCTAACTTTAAGATCCTAACTATGAGATGCCAACTGAGATGCTAACTTGTGGTCGAAAGAAGACTTTGAATGGAAATGACTACCAAGTGCAAAAAAAATATGGTCGAAAGAAGAAGACTCAGAACGCAAACCACAACGCAGGCAATGATGATGCAGACGATTGGGAAACGAAAAGAAAAAGCAATCCAGAGAACTCAAGCAACCAACATAATGATGGTACCGTTCAGTGAAGAAGATATTTTTAACCTTGACGGTTATAGACCGTTTACTGAAAACAGATCGACCGTTCAGTAGAATTCAGGCGGCAACCGACAGTCATAGAACACGGTGAAGTAGGCCGTTAAATGCAAACGTATAGACCGTTAAGTAAGTACCGTTAAGTTCCAACGGAAACGGACACACCGTTAAGGTCAGACGGGTATAAATAAGGAGGAGGTGATGAAAAACAGATGTAAACGAGAAACTACAGTAGACATGTGAGAGTTTGATGGTAGAGCATCAAAAGCAGCGAACGTCAAAAAACTATAAACGAGCATTTGCAAGAGAGAGAGAGAGAGAGAGAGTGCCGCAGGAATAAGGAGTGTGTCTTGCTTAGAGAGAGAAAGAGTGCCGCAGGAATAAGGAGTGTGTCTTGCTTAGAGAGAGAAAGAGTGCCGCAGGAATAAGGAGTGTGTCTTGCTGAGAGAGAGAGAGAGAGAGAGAGTGCCGTTGGGATAAGGATTGTGTCTTGCTTAGAGAGAGAGAGAGAGTGCCGCAGGAACTTTTTCTCGTCAGTTGCCCTTTTACAATCTGGTTCATGAACCTGTCCAGATGCCTAGCGGGATAAGCAACCGGACTGACGCCCCCCAGAATAGATGGTGCGTGAGTGGGTGCTGGGGATGGGGGGGGAAGGCAGAAAAAAAAAAACAGAAACAGAAAGACTCAGAAAGAGAGAGGAAGAAGATCGGAGGTAAGGTACAGGCAGCAGTGGATTATTGTTTTCCTTCCCTTCATTGCCCTCTAAGCTCAGTGTTTTTTTCCCCCCTTTTTTCTTCTTTTTTTTCGCTTTCATAAAGGGGGGGAGGGTAAGGGCAAATTGTATTTTCTGCCTCACGGTTTTAATGGAAATTCCTCGTATTTCCCCCACCCAAAAAAAAGAAAAATTTGTATTTCTGAGCGAGTAAGGGCAAAACGAGATTCGTCATGAGTGCGGCTTAGAGTGGCAAGGAAAATTGGAGTATGAAAGCAGGAGCCGACTCAGTAAGAACTAAGACCGGCGAGATGCGAAACACAGGCACGTTGAGAGTGTACCAAATGTGTAACTTCGGAATTGAAAAACTCTTCGAAAGATTAAAATGAAAGAACCAAGAGTACCATAGCCTAGGTTCTCTTCAGAAGGTAAGAGATAGGCGCCAAGAGAGCTAGCTATGGTTTCTACCACCGCCCGTTGCGGGCGGCGGTAATCTGGCTTCCCTCTTCAGAAGGGAAAGACCAACTGCTGTAGAGCACATTTCACGGAAATTATTATATTAATAATTCATAATAATAACAATAATCCGAGAAAGAGCCACCATAGCTCACCCAATTCGTGGTGAACGGGAGGAAGACTTAACCCGGCGCCCAAGGGTTTAACAACAAATTTAATAAGTAGTTAAGAATTCAACTTGAAATTTAAAAGGGGAAAAAAAAAAAAGCTGACTGGGCGGGGTAAGGGCAAAACGAGATTCGTCATGTGCCCGGCCGACAGCCGGAAATGGAATCGTAAAATGCTGTAGACAGTGTAGAACACCTTTTTAGGAAAATTTTTCAAATAATGTGAAATTGTGAATATTTCTAGGCTACCAGCCGGGCCGCCCGGGTCACCCTATTTTCCCGGACGGCCTGGCCGTGCAAGGACCAGGGAAGGTCCTAGCAAAAAAATCAAAAAATTCAAAAAATTCCGAAAAAAAAAACTATGTCATGCAGAAAAATAAACTGAACAACTTCTGCCTCAGGGTCACATCGAAATTCTTTACCATATTTAAAATAAAAAATAAGTTAAAAAATATTTTTTATTTTTTATTTTTTATTTATTTTTGGCCCGGCCGGGCAAGTGGTCCCGGGCCACTCTGGTAGCCTAGGATTATTTATAATAATAACACTCATCATAATAATCATCATAATAATCATAATAATAATAATAACCCGAGAAATAGCCACTATAGCTCATCCAGTTCGTGGAGAACAGGGGGAAGACGTGACCCATCCCCCAAGGGTTTAACAAATTTAATAACTAATTTCATTAAAAATTTGGAATTCAACTAGAAATTCAAAAGAAAGAAGGTGACTGGCGACTTATTCATCATGTTCAATGAATCCAATTTCTTCAATGAAATTGGGAAAAAAAAAAAAAAAGCTCACAGACAGTGGAGAGAGAGGGGGGCCAAGGGGGAAGAGGGAGAGAGAGGGAGAGAGGGAGGAAGAGAGGGGAGGGAGAGAGGAGAGGGAGAGAGGGGAGGGAGAGAGAGATGGAGCGCTTCAGACGTTTTATGAGCACATCAATTACATAAACTTTGATGCAAAAACATGTGCATCAGTCGGTATGACCGTATATATCGACAACCAGAGATATATATATCGTCACACTATATCACCAAACAGAGAATATATACGCAAGAGGTTCTGAACAGGGGGACGTACAAGGCCATATTGTCACAAAAATATCAGAGCGCAAATGCGAAAAAAGAAAGAAAGAAAAAAAGGAAGAAAAACAAGAAAAAATGAATTCAGTTTTTTATCTTCTTCCTTATAACTCCCCCTGTTCAGAACCTCTTGCGTACACGGCCGCCCACGTGGATGTAGGTTGAGCGGCGGCTGCCCACACCCCCGTGTGTCATATCGACCCACTTGCACACAGCCAAAAGGAAAAGTGGCAAAGTGGCAAAGAAGAGAGGAAGGGAACAGCCAAATAAAACAGAACAGGGGGCAACAAAACAGATCCCAGATGACAAGTCCCCCATGCAAGCACCGCCCTTGCACCACAGGCCAAACGACGGGACAAGACCAACCAGGATGTCAGAACATTCTT